CATAACAGTCAAAAAGTAGAAGCAACCCAAAGGCTCATCAACTGATGACTGAATAAATAAAAACTGCATTCACAGATTGAAATATTATTTAGCAATAAAAAGAAATTAAGTACTTACATGCTGTAACATGGATGAACCTTGAAATCTTTATGCTAAGTGGAAGAACCATACAAAAGGCCACATAGTGTATACATACAAAAGGCCACATAGTGTATGATTCTATTTCTAAAAAATGTCCAGAATAGGCAGATCTATAGAGATAGAACATGGGTTAGTGGTTGAAAGGGACTGTGGGCAGAAGAGAAAATTGAGAGTGGCTATTAACAGATACAGGATTTCATTTTGGGTAATGGAAATGCTCTGCAATTAGAAAGTGGTGATGGTTGTACAATCTTATGCAGATGCTTCAAAAATACTTATTATATACTTTACAATGACGGATTTTATATGCATGAAATTCTGTATTAATTATATCTCAATTTTTTCTCAAACTCCTACTGGGCTTACCTTTTTCTTTTTTTTTTTTTTTTTTGAGGTACCAGGGATCGAACTCATGACCTCGTGCTTGCCAGGCAGGCACTTATGCCACTGAGCTATATCCCCAGCCCAGGGCTTACTTTTTTCTTATTTGCACTTGGCATAGCAAAAATTTAGAGATATTGCTTTAAGGTTAAAAAAAACACAGCTATTCTCAAAGTGTTCCTTGTCTCTCTGCATTATTCTTTATCCAGCTTTCTGAATCCCCACACACATACGTATAGTCAAGTGAAAACTTAAGGTAAAAAGTATGCTAATTGGATAATGTTTAGAGGGTTTGCATTTCTATTTTTAATATAATTACAGTCTGGGTGAGCAATGTGTTATGTAGACAGTGTAGTTCAGTGTAAGAGGTTTTCAATGCCACAACAACCTAGTCTCCTAAGACATCCAAAATTAAATACTGTCCTGAACAGGTGAGAGCATCTCTCCACTCCGGTGGTAATGATGGCTCCATCTTTTTGCTTTCCACTGTCTTCCCTACCTCTTTCTAGGAACTTTCAACATTCTTATCACCAGATAAACCCTTAGAACTGGCTATTTAAAACAACTTATAATATACACATCTCACACAGTATTTTGTACACAATAAGGACACAAAATGTACAAAAGATGCTTGGTAAATAAGACCATTCTTAATGAGAAAGTAGAGTCATGGCATGTGCTGAAAATCTTCTGGTCTCCAACCTCACTGGTCTGAAACCAGCGTACTTCATGTTCATGGGAAACTGGGGGAGAGCTTTAAGTAGCTTATGCATATCCGCTGACAGTAAGTAGACATATAGCTTTTAGTGACCTAGCCATTGTTAGCACTAATTACCATTACTATGATGTTTCTTTGAAAGAGAAATAAAGAAAGGAACAAACATAATCTGTTCAATTAACATGATGTGCTTTCTCCTAGTTTTTATGGAAAAACCTGCCAAGTCATAGGAGAAATAAAACAGTGTTCATGAGTCATATGTAGATCCTGTATCAAAAAAAAGTATAACAGTCAGATGCTGAAATAGACACCATTTTTTTTTGTAAAGCATTTTCTCTAACACTCGATTAACCTAAATCACTGAAACTGAGCAAGCAGGCAGAAACAAAATGTTTCTCATTCTGACATGTTCAAAGCAAAGGAGGCATATTAAGTCACAAATAATTACGGCACTGACAAACAACGCCCTCAAAATTTTTTAGCAATCTAAGGAAGATACTGAGGATGTGTATAAAAATTTGAAAAGGCACTGATTTTTATATTTTATAGAGAAAAACAACTCGGGCATGGACATTGAACTGTACCTTTTCTTTGGTGCACTTTTCAAATGATAATTCCTTCCACTGTCACCATTAAATCTTAATCCATTCCAGCTCCTTGCATGGGTCATTGAGTCTATATGTACTGCTGTTATTTTAAAATGTTTCCCCTTGGTAGGGGAAGAGGGGGAGAAGAGATGTTGAGAGCCAGATGGGCCTCTTCACAGTTCATTTATCAAACCTAATACCCCGGGCTCCACCCTCCTCTTACTCACTATTGCGGTTAAACTTCCATATAATTTGGTAATCATTTTCATTATCAGAGAGTGACCCCAAAGCAGCCGATCCTGGGATACCCAGTCCTTGCAGCTGCTCTTTTTCTGCCTTCTCCTACAGTAGACCCTAAGAACCTCTGAGTTTATTAGCTGCAGGCTGACCTTTGGGCTGTGGAGGTCAAGAAGGGGTCAGATCAGAGGGCTTGCCCAGTTCTTTAAAAGCTATAACAAGCTGTCCATCAGGCAGAGTGGACTGTATAAACAAAGCCAAATCTTCAGAAATTCTGTACCACTTCTGTTAACACTTACCCTGCATTCACACAGCGGCTCCTGATGTACTTTGGATCATTCAGCTCTGGGGAAGTGAATAGACAGCCCTAATAAGCCTATTTGGAGAGAGCTGTCTATGGGATTACTCAGTTTGGGGAAGGAAACCCACAGCATTCAGATGTGCCTCTAGAATCGCAGGGTTGTGTGACACTGTGACAAACTCGGTTACCCTGAGTCATGCAGAATTGACACTTTCCTCAAGATGCTAAGTTACAGGGGACATATGCTTTCGGTTTAAAGAGACTGCAGAGAGTCCCAAACAATGGCTCAGTTCCTGGGCTGAGGGAGAAACCAATGTGTTAGGAGCAAGCCATAACTCTCGCTGAAAATATTCTCCCTGATACCACGATTGCAAATGAACCTGCTGAAGAGAGGGTTTATTACAATAGACGCATGCTAAAGTTATAAAGTTATTGCCAGCTGCGGAGTCTCGGCTGACCTAAATTTCTTGAAGTTGTACAGTTCATAATGCATTGCCTAACGTGTAATATAAGATAATTAGAGTCATCTGTATGTAACTTTCAGAGGAAAAAATTTCTATTATCTAATCTAACTGATCCCCTGATAGCTTTGATGAAAGTAAAATGCTGTAACCTATTGCTTGGCCTTTGGGGAGTGCTAATTATTTTCTGTCAAAGCACATTTTTCCTCGTGTAATTCCAAAGTACACAATAGGCCAATCTCTACAACACAGGCAGCTCAGTGAGCGCTGCTGTGGATGTTTTATAACTTTTACCACCACAGGCTGGATGGCTACTCCAGGCAATGCCCGATTCCAGACAGCCAGATGACACTTTGATGAGGAAAAGAGAGGTATATGGTGACTGTCTGTTTATGTGGATCCTATGATAGGGCACCGGGATGAGAAACATCAAATGAGGGGAAGGATTACGGTTATTTAATACTGTGAGGACACTTTGCCTTCTGCGCTCTCAAGCCATCTCCCTCTTGAAATTTTCTTTCAGGTGTTTGGTTTTAAGGGAGCCTGCAGAGTGTCAGCAGCTAAGAGTTTTCTTTCTTCCTTCCCGGCCACAAAGAACTTGGGAATTTTTGTTTCAGATGCTAGACTACATCAACTTCAACACTGGCTCCAGCTCCTGATTAAATTGTTAGCAGGAAGGGCCAGAAATGCTGAAACCAGACTCCTTTTAAACAGGCCACTTTGGCCATGCTGTCTGATGATTTGGTGTATTAGGAAATTATTCTTAACAAACCCAGTGCATTCAACAAAAGGCATCCATTCTCAAAGTGTGCTCTCTCTGGGCCCTGCTATCTTTGGAGGGAAGGGGTATGAAAGAGAGATTACAAGGGAATTCTTTCTTCCTCACTTTCCTATTTAATAAGGATCACCATGGGAAGACAGAAAACACCCAGAGAGAAACCTCTTCAATATCCCCACACTGATATTCCATTATTTAATAAAATATGCAAACCTAAATGAATATAACACTTAAATTACAATATAAAGAAAATTTAAAACTAACTGCTAAAAAACTGGAAATTATTCAGTCCTTACGATGGTGGAAAATGTGTGTCATTTACTATGACCACACTAAAAAATAGGCAGAAAAATATCATTGTGAATTTCTTAATGATTCTTACGTGCAAGCCTGAATTCAGCAATAATATACACATTTTAAAAGGAAGCTTTCTGATATCCAATCAAAATCAATAGTTCCTACTGTCTCCTGTCTTAAAAAATGTTCATCTGTTCAGTCTTGTCCAAACAAATCTATTTTTATGATAATTATTACTAGCAAAGTTAGCAATACCTGTAAATTCTGCTGTACGAAGTCACTTGGATAACATTAGAGCTATTGATACATGTTCTTCACTCCCAGGCACATAGAATTTTTCCCCGTCAAATAAGACTCTTAAGACAAAATACAGTATAATTTACCTGATTCCTCTCCCTTTTGCTCAGAGACAAATGATGCCGAGTTATTATTGAATTAATTTTTACAAACCACAGATCTGAAGGAGAACTCTAACTTTTAGAGGAATGAGTTCCAACTTTCCACTTACCAACTGTTTTCCAAACAGCAGTGGGATAACATATTTATTATGCGCGCACTAATTCTATAAAAGCTGATGATTTACAGAAACTTTCTGCCATAACAGCTTTCTAATCACAGGTAAGTCCATGTGGAAAGAAACTAGATTAAGCAAAAATCATTCCCATTTGGTCAGTTCTAACACTGGGGTTGATAAGCAGACTTTCAAATAATCTTTTCTGAATCAAGGGATAGAAGAGCACTATGTGGATTTCCCAGACATCTGCTCTAAGTGGCAGCAATAGTGTCCTAGACGACCGAATTAAAGGGGCTCGTATCACATCAGGTATTTATACTACATTATGCTCAAGATGGAGACATGTATGCCAACTGTTATACTCAGGAAAGAAAATCATATACACCTACAGACGATGTCATAGAGCATTGTAATTAATGTAGGTTACCATGGATAGGAAAGCTAACTAGCTGCGAACATCTTAAACTTGCTGATTTTTCATGGTCCCTCAAATGAGAGGGACAAGACCAGTGATAAGGAAGGGCTTAGTCAAAGACAGCTCTTGTTTGTCAGGGACGGCAGATCCCATTTTATCAGAGAACTAACCTGGCTTGCCATTCCCTCCGCAGGTTCTGGCGGGTGGTGAGCAAAGCAAGGATGGCAGTCAGCACCGCATTCCTTTGTTCCACGGGGAGCCCCTCTCTTTTAACTTCTTGAAGCACAGCATTTGTCTAGAAGAAATGATCCCAAAAAGAGAAAGAAAAAGTGAAAAATTAATAATAAAAAAGCCCATAAGCAAATAAGGACAGTAAATCAATGGCTTTTTTATTACAGTTCCCCTGCTAACAAATCAATACGGTAAATGATGGTCAAAAATGGCCAGCATATATTTTGTATTTAATCAATGTACATGGCACATAAGGTAAACTCTAAAGCTCCATTGCCTTAAGTAACACATCAAGACACTGTGCATTCTCCCTCTAATTTTCTCAGCACACCAACGATTTTTTTCCCTGGGAATTGCCTACCGTGAGCTATTATTAGAAATGATTTTCACGTACACTTCACTGTGAGTTGTTTGTTTTGCCTTTTTAAAAAAGAGCAGTCTGACTTTCGTTCTGTTTCCTGCCACCCAGCTGAGGCTTTCGCCGCCGCCTCTCCTATTTGAATCATTACTTTCAATTTCTACCCACACCAGTGATGAGGGGGTGGGGTGCTCGTTTTTCTTGCTTGTTGTAAATCAAGATCTTGCCAAAAAAAAGAAAAAAGAGTGCAAAAATCAAAAAGAACACTATACCTTAACAAATATCTTTAGGTTTTATACATGTTATTTTAATTCAGAGTCACTGTGGCTTCTTGGGTAATTTTATAGCCAAGGTAGTGGCTGGAAGCAATGAAACTGTCACTTGCTCTCATTCAATATATTCCTTATCTAATGGATGCCAGTACATTTGCATACTTAAAAAGCACAGTCATCATTAGTTGTCATGTAACTTGAAATACCACTTCCTGACTCTTTTGTAGCATTTTACAGTGCACATTTAATCTCTTCATGACCACCTTGAGAAGAGATATAGTGGATATTTGCTGTTTCTGTTGCTTATATCCATACTCAGTTCCCCTTTGTCTGAAAACAGCACCTAGATCCCCTCTCAGGAAAATCTTTTCTCTTATGCTCATAGTCTTAGAGCTACTATCAAGCAAAGTGTGCTACCCTCTGCTATCCAGGATGTGGTCCAGGGCACTTTGATTCTCCTTTCCAGGACTTTGACTCCTATGAGGAATGACAAAGAAAAGGAAAGATTTTGGAGGTAATTTACAAACTCTTTGGTCTATCCCACCCATGATCTTTCGAGTATCCATGGTTTCACAAACTTTCTGAATCCAGATCATTCTTTTTCCTCTGACAGTTTGAGTGATCCAACATCCTTTAATAAAGTTTCGTTTTGTTCAAATTCACCAGAATCTATTTCTGTTGCTTAGAACCAAAAACTCCCTTAACCGACAGAACAGATAAGGCAGGAAACAGTATCTCCACTGTGAAGGATCCAAGATAACCTGACAACACAAGTCAGGAAAATGACCCTGATTTCTGCCTCTTAAGAGATCCAGTATTATACCTACTACACTAAGAGATGTACCCAGTTGGACATTCAATCAGTTTCTAAGACAAGAGTATCTTCAGCCCTCCAGCACAGAGAGGAATGCTCGACTTCTCCAATACATGAAACCCAGCATCCAGGGATTCCAAATTCAGATACTCACTAGGAGCAGGGAGATAACATGAACGAGTTAAGCAGAGGCTTCCCAAAGAGAGCACAGGCTTTGTCTAAAGCGGCAGCCACTATTCAGCTCCAGCCAACTCTTCGGCTCAGCTCAGGAAAACTGGCTCAGCAATGCCAGATTCATGAATTTTCAATATAAACAAGAAATCTTTTTTTTTTTAATGCAAAGTCTCCTGATTTTGTAAGTGTTGGAAACTCATTTGAAAATGTTTAAAAATAGGTGGGCCAAACAAGAAATACTAATGGGCTGAACAGAACTCAGACAACAGCCAATTTGTGGCCTCCAATCCTGTCTAATTTCAGAGACGTGTGGGCACTGATGGGCATTCTAGCAACAGTACCGCTCCTTGTGTGCGACACTCTGCTTCACGTAAAGTGGAAAGGAGCCTCAAAAAGTCAGGCAGTGCATCATGATACCCACAGCTACACAGTAGTTCACCAAAAAGGTAAAAAGGTAGAAAACAGAAGATGAAGTACACATCTAGATGGCTCCAAAATCATGACGAAAATAAATTATTTTCCCCTTTGAAAGTATTAAAATATTTTTCAAAAAGCCACTGCGTCTCCCTTGCCTTTTATATCATTTAAATTGTATCTAAGAACCTTGTTTTCCACAGACTCTGAGCAACTTAAAAGAATAAAATCTCATAAGGGTGTTGCTTGTTCAGATCACCACTATCTTCCTACCATCTGCCTAATAATTTTTAATAAATATTTGTCAAATTAGTGAATAAGAACTACAAACACAAATACTGCAAAACCAAACAGCAATAGAAGATTCTTAAGAGATTATGTCATAAATGGTAAACTCAGGGGCCAGAGATTTAGTTCAGTGGCACAGCACCTGCCTGGCAAGTGTGAGGTCCTGAGTTTGACTCCCAGTACCCCCATACCCCAAAGAGGTAAACTCATATACAGGGTCAATGGATAAACACATTGTGATACATCAGCACAGTGGACTGCTACTGAGCAAGAAAAAGTGATGAGCAACTAATACATGCAACCATTTGGATGAATCGCAAAGGCTTATGCTGGGTGAAAGAAGCCAGTACCAAAAGGTTAAGCACTGCATGATTCCATTTGTTTGCTAGGGATTTGGTTAGGTAAAGGACAGCATGAGAGTATTGAACAGAACTATTCTATATACTGACTATGGTGGTTGTTATATAAGCTTAAACATGTTAAAACTCAGTAAACTACAGTCTCCCAAAATCAGTTTTATTACAAATAAATTTCATACAATCTCCATCACGTTTTTAAGACAAGAATGAAAGCAAAACACAAGCTTACAAGCAAACATGTCTAATAAATATGTAGTAAAAATATGGAGAAATATATCTGGATGATAAACAAATTCTATCACAGAAACAAATTTTCTTAATATTGGAAAAGGACAACTTAGATTCAGCACTCAGTTTCTAAGATTTAGGGTATTTCATAAAATTTAGGGTAAAAAATGTCACTGTACAAAAAGGGAATTTCAGAGTGTCAAAAGATCATTCTTTTTACAAGATAATTAACAATGACATTTTTCTCCTTATAACAGAGTTGGACACTCAACAGTGTTGGATTGATTCTACTTACAGAAATGTTAATAGGCCATTTTCTCCCTAGTAGTAGCACAGAACTGTCTTCTTATAAGTACCAATTTTTAAACAATCTCCTATTACAAAAACACACTCCCCTCTCCCCTCAAAATATAGGGAAAGAAAGACACAGGTTTTGGAAACATGCTCCAGAGGTCAAATTTCATTTTATTAGTAATTTTTTTTCCACAAGAAATCTACAGAATTACTGGTCATATACTTAGGACTAAGCATATCTTAAGAATGGTGTTCAAATTGCAGTTGCTATCTCCTCACTGTGGGTCCTTTCTGTAACTGCAAATGGCCATGACACCAGAACACTCCCATGGGTTCTTATGAGGAGAAGCTGCCTGATACATATACCACTCTGATTATTTCTGTTTAGTTTTGTCTTAAACTCTGCTAATCTACATTGGGCAAGGTTGTGCTAGTTTAACAAAAAGATTTTTGAAAGTGTTTATTACTTTAAATGAAAAATTGTTAAAAGACATCAGGCATTAAACAATTCATAACCATAAAACTTCCATCTGTACCACATGGAATCAGAGGCACGTTCTCTCACATACCCCCAGTGGTAGAAAGTCTGTCCTCTGAGGGTGGGCTTTGTGTTTGGAGTCAGCCCCTGATTTTACTCGCCCTCCCTCTATAAGTGGCTATCTCTCTCTCCTAAGCACTGCCCAGCATTTAGCCTGTCCTTTTCAGTCTCTCAGTTGTGGTCCTTCTGGGAGCCTCAGCTACTGTTATTACAAAGGAATAACTTTTGTTTTCCTCTCACTTCTTGTGCTTGCTTTCTCTGTGGGTGCTCTCCCCCTCCAACAGCTTTAAGGGTCCCCTGTTATCTAATGATATCTACACTTCTACTTTCAAGCAGACCTCTCCACTGAGCTCTGGCCCCATGACTGACTATCTCTCCTTAAGCCTCTCACCTCAAATATGAAATCTCAACCTTAACTTGGACATATTTGAACCTACTACCTTTGCTTTGCAATTTCTTTCCTCTTCTTCAACCCAGTTCCTCTCCTGTATTTCCATAAAGTGAGTGGCTCCGTTATCAAGGCAAGAACACAAACTAGAATGCTGGGAATCACCCACTGTCCTTCACTTCAGTGTACTCCCTACAGCTAACCACTAAATCTTGCTATTCCTCTCTCTTCAGTAAGACTCAAACTTGTCCCTTCCTCGCCGGCTGCAGCTTAGTGCAGGCCTACCTCTCCACTGGTTTCTCTGTGTTAATCTCATCCCTTTCAGGAATTTCAGTGACTTTTTGAAAGTACAAGTACGACCATGTTACTTCCTTTTAAGTAATTCAGCATTACCCGCAGCTGTGGTTTTTATGCCATCTTCATGATGTGCTGGTGCTTCCAAGAAGGACATCACGGTCACCAAGGAGTCAAGGACTTTTGACCCCCAAAACTCCACTCACACCAGAGTCCCTCCATTTATATATGCTTTAGTTACTGACAATGGGACACAAAAGAAATGATTTTTTTTTTTTTTCAAATAAAAGCTCAAATTCCTTAGCATGGGCAAAAACAAAAACAAAATCTTTAATATAATCCCGCTTTCCTCTTAAGTTGTATCTCTTGCCATCATTCATTCCATATAAAAGTAATAGTAACAGTCTGAAGACACACACAGTTCTTCAGTACTGCCCCTTATTTACAGCCTTGCTGTATAATTTGTCAGTGACTACTCTTTCTTCAAGAAACATCTCAAATAGCATCTCCTTTGTAAAGTCCGCTGTAAACCACACCCTTGTGCCAAATTAAGCAGTTGATCGCTCCTTCCTCTGCACAATCTCTGAGCATCCCATAAACCATATCACACTCTACAGCACTTACTTATTCATCTAAAGGATTC